CATGATGTTTGTAAAGTGCTTTCAGAGCTCAGATGGAAGGCACTATGAGTGCGTGTGAGTTCAATGTGAGGCTGCTTTGCAAATGAACAGGGCCAGATTCTGCCCCATGAATAGTACCTTGAATCTGCCCATGGATTTCAGAGGTCTTCTCTGGGTTGTAAGGAAGAACTCCCAGCTAAGGGTGGCTAAGGATGACAGAATCTGACCCACAATTAGCCACGTAAATTAAGTCAGTTGTATATTTCCTGCTGCTTGGATCCAATGCCACATTTTCCTCTTAGTTTTTGGTCAGAAATGAGTGACTTTGAAGTTCAAAGGTGCTCATAGAACTATGTGGGGAACACCAAGTGCTGCAAATTAAATCTTTGCCACACAAACATGTCGAGAAAGGAAGTCACTGACCGTAACCTTATGAAGTTTCTGGGGAAGTCACGTACCGCCTCACAGCCTCATGTTTCTGCTAGGCCCCTTGGTAGCTCTTTATATTCTTCCCAGTCAAAAAAGCAAGATGTTTGACTCTTGAGGATATATTAATGTGCTTCTAAGCAGTCCCAGTGCACAAATAAATTGTGTAGGTACTTTGTGATCTGAATAATCTCACATGATCAGTCATACATTGTTCTCTTGTCAGCAACAGTCATCTAGGACCAGCCTAGTGTCCTGGATCGAGTCCAGAGTAAACAAGCACCCTAATGGAAATGCTCCATAAACACCCAGAATCTGCAGACATTCTTAACTTGCAGAATGCCAAGTTTTGGAAAGAAAAAAGCTATTATATTCAACATGCAACCAGTTTAGTGGCTGAAAGTTTTAGATATGGAAAATTCCAAGCAAATTAATTTACAAAGAAATGACCCTTTGGAAATACTGTTCAGACGTTTGCAAGCCTTCCCCAGTGGCATGTTTTAAAAATACTTGCTGTGGTCCGCTTAGGGCCAAATTCCTTGCTGGTGTAAATGGGTGACTTACACTGTTGTTAATGGAGCTGCACCCATTTATACCAGCAGAGAATTTGTTCCTCCTACCGTACAACCTTATTCAGAGAATCAAGGCAATAATAAATCCTACTTATAATAATGAACATTTTTCCCACTCCAATTTTTAGTTTCTCATTTTGGACAGATGAAGGTCCCTGGTAACATAGGTGCTGACTCCATAGGTGCTCCGTTGTTCAAGCACCCACAAAAAAAAATAGTGGGTGCTCAGCACCCACCAGCTACAGCTATTTGGCGGGGCCACCAATAAGCTGTTTGGCAGCTGGGGAGGCACTTGGGGGAGGGCAGAGAGCAGCCGAGCAGTGGGCAGGTGGAGGCCTCAGGGGATGGGTTGGAGTGGGGGCAGCAAGAAGTGAAGTGAGGGCGGGGCCTTGAGGGAGGGGACAGAGTGGGAGCAGGAAGAGGCGGAGTGAGGGCAGGGCCTCGGGGGAAGGGGCAGAGTGGGATGGAGCACCCCTGGGGAAAACTAAAAATCAGCACCTATGCCTGGTAATGTTGGATTCTACAGCGCCTGTGTCATACAACCAGGCCCGCACACCCTTTTTCATTTCAGATAGGTAAATGCAAAGATTTATATGGAATTTGTTTTTCACCAAAATGCCTGTTGTCATGTGCCGCTTCTACATTGTAGGTTGCAGGGCTGCTACTAGCTGGTTAGGCTCTTGTATCAGATATGGACTAGCTACAGAGCTTCCTTCCCAGCGAGATACACCAGATGTGGTCATTATAATCCTTTCATACACTGTCAGGTGTACCTTTTGTATGCTCAGAGAAGGTATGTTACACACAGCACCACCCCAACGGCTGAACAGTATAATACAGTTTAGCATTGCATTACACCTGTAAAGATGAAAAGGTATCAACAAATTGCAATTTCAGTAACCAGTATTAGACTAGATTCACATCTGATGTATTCTAGCCTCTGCAACATGAATAAGAGCACAGCGTTCCCCAGTGAAGGAAATACTGCTGCTGTGGTACCGGTGGTGGTGGTAGACTGCACCCCAAAGGTAAGTGAATTAACTATGCACACTCTCACACTGAACATTTTCTTAGGTGCAGTTCTGAGGGTTTGGGAAGATAACTCTGAAGTTAACTTAGCTACGAACTTAAGAGTTCCAAATACGCCAGCCAATTTTAACTCTTACTCCACATTATTAATTTAATATGCAGCATGTTGAGTAAGTAAGATTCACTGTGTATTTTTCAGATAACAATTTCATGGTAAACACAGAGTGCTACACAGCACTGCAAGATGCTATATATGCCAGCTGTGTTGATAGCAAAATTATATGACATTTATACTGTTTCGTTTGATAAATCGCATCTGATCATGTAATTAAAGATCAAACAAGGGGGCGGGACAGAATTATATCTAAGGGCACATCTTCACTAACCGCCGGATCGACGGGTAGCGATCAATCTATTGGGGATCGATTTATTGCATCTAGTGTAGACGTGATAAAATTGATCCCCGATCGCTCTGCCATCGAGTCCAGAACTCCACCGCAGCGAGAAGTGGAAGTGGAGTCGACGGGGGAGCGGCAGCGGTTGACTTGCCGCCGTCCTCACAGCCAGGTAAGTCGACCTAAAATACGCAACTTCAGCTACGCTATTCGCATAGCTGAAGTTGCTTATCTTAGGTCGACGACCCCACCCCCATCCCTTAGTGTAGACCTAGCCTTAGAATGCTGAACTGTGCACCATTAGGACCAAAGTCGGCTATCACGGGAAAGCCCCACATGAAGCTGCACCCATGTAACTGAGAGCAGAATTCAGCCCTTAATATTCCTCTTAACATAACTCTAAGCATGGACTTCTATATAGCTCCTTCTTCTCCATTTTACAAACTACCAGTGGGAAGCCATAGAGAGCGCTAGTGTTTAATTGTACAGTGAGATATCTAACAAAGGGATCCCGAACTACTGTATAGGACTATCCCATGTAGGGAAATTGCTGCGTCTTCACAAAATCAGTAGGGAGAATACTTCCTCTGAGAAAAACACTTCCATCCTGAGACTGCCCAAGGGAGGAATTAAAGAGCAAAGTATATATATCACAACAGGATATACTCTAGTGTGTTATTGCTATTTCAGTATGTCAGGCTTCACCATTATGTTTGCCTTGTCAGTCCCAGTGCAATAACATTCAGAGGCGTTTTCATACTTTCTCCACACTTTAGAAAGTGGCAAGTGGGTGGTAAGACAAACAATTTGATTAAAGATGTTAAACGTTGGGTTTAGGCACTTAACATACAACTTCATGACATCTTTATATTATCATACGACAAAAAAGCCCATCCTACTGCCACCATGTTTAGTAATTATACCCACAAACACCTGGCAAACTTATGGCAATTATACTTAAATACATTTAATAACACTAAAAAGTTGACAATGTAAAAAAAAGCAACTTGACAATGGTTAGGCTGCTGGTGTGCTGAGACTACGGCTTATCGTGCTGACCAATATTGTCTCATTGTTTCTTTGTGCTCACCCATTTGTCTGTATGCGTCTGGGGTCTCTCGCCTTATACTTAGTAAGCGCTGTGGGGCAGGGAATATCTTTTTTTGTTCTGTGATCATACAGTGCCTAGCTGGTCCATGACAGAGGCTCCTAGTTCCTACCACAATACAAATAATTCCAACCAGTTCTGCTATTTGTTTTTCTCATAGAAACTTTCCTTCCAACTATTTTTTTTTTTACCAAAATGACTATTTTTGTGGGAAAGGATTCTGAAAAAGGAAAACATTAGTGTGGTAGGGTGCTGTTGGAGAAGCCCTTAATCAGCTCCTGCCACCGCAGTCCTAATCAGGGAGAATGGATTGGGGCTGGGTAAACTGTCCTATGTTTGCCTGGTAACTGACCACACCTGACAGCCTCATTAGCAGGAGCTATAAGGCTGGAAGAAAGTGAGAGAAAGTGGAGGTGGAGACTAAGGGCACGTCTTCACTACCCGCCGGATCGGCAGGTAGCGATCGATCTATCGGAGATCGATTTATCACGTCTAGTGTAGACGGGATAAAATCGACCCCAGATTGCTCTGCCGTCGACTCCGGAACTCCACTGCAGCGAGAGGCGGAAGCGGAGTCGATGGGGGAGTGGCAGCGGTTGACTCGCCGCCGTCCTCACAGCCAGGTAAGTCGACCAAAAATAAGCAACTTCAGCTACGCTATTCGCGTAGCTGAAGTTGCGTATCTTAGGTTGACACACACACACACCCCCGTAGTGTAGACCTAGCCTAAGAGTGGGAGGTCAGCTGCAGCTGCCTAGCATGTTGCTGGCCAGGCCTGTGGTAGGCAAAGCAGTGGTAACGCCTGTAAATAGTTGGAAACTGGTGGTGGGGAACTGATCACAAATAAAGAACACGAGTGTTGCACCAGACTCAAGTGTCCCTGATTCACGGAGGAGAGGGGCCAAGGGGCTGAACCTAGAGGGGGGCAAGGTGTACCCATTTACAATTAGGAACAAGGTGTGACACTTTGCCCCATATTCTTCATAGAGATATGTTATGGTATGATTCTAGCATAACACAGATGTATTTTATGCAAGATGGGTCACGTGAGATATCATTGGAAAGGCTATGATTTACTGAATATGATTATCTTATTTGTATGCATGTATCATTTCTGTATCGGAAGTTAGGAATATTGTTTATGCATCTATTACAAATGTATTTACACCTGGGGAACGCCCACTAGACAGAATGCAATCAGCCTGGATGGCTGGTTGGGAAGGGCGTTAGGGAAAAAAAAGGGTCTTTGAAGATGCTAATCTCCCACTGGGAAGCCTTCCTGGGGATGCTTCAAACAGCCTCTGAGTTATGGCTGTGAGGGTCATGTGACCAAGTCACTTGGTCTGGACTCCATGGTAATACTAATATTTTCCCACTAACCAGGGGGTGGGAACCACACTGGGAGACAAAGGATTCCCGCCATATGCAAAGACTATTTAAGGCAGGGGAGTGACATCATTGAGGTTTGCTCTTCATTGACTCCCCGCCCAAGAAAGAGGACTGCTGGAAACAACTTAGAAAAAAAGACTGGACAAGGAGAGAAGGGCTGAGCCCAGGCACGAAGGTTTTCTAGCCTGTGAAAAGAATATCTGGAATTTTAAACTACAAGCAAGTGCGGCTTGCCTTCAAGAATCTCTGCAATCTGCCTAAAACAACAGTTAGGGTGAGAGTTTGCTACTTATAACCAGTTTCTTTAGTATACTAAGCTTAGATTGCATGTTTGTTTCATTTAATAGGTAATCTGCTTTGATCTGTTTGTTAGCCCGTATAATTACTTAAAATCTATCTTTTGTAGCCAATAAACTTGCTTTTGTTTTGTCTAAAACCCAGTGTGTGGAATTCATAACTGGGGGGCAAAAAGCTGTTGCATATCTTCCTACACATTGAGGGCGGGGGTGAATTTCATGAGCTTACGCTGTACAATTCACCGTGCAGCGCAAGATAGTATAATTTTGGGTTTACCCTCCAGAGGGGGGTGTGCACTTGAGTACTGGGAAGTTCCCTAGCTGAGCCTTCCCATGCAGAGCTGATCTCAGCATCTGTGTGTATAGCTACAGCTGGGTGTGTCCCTACCTGTATGAGTGCAGGTAAAATACGGCCTGGAGCCTGGGAAAGGGCTTGGCAGGCTTGCCTCAGCAGTACAGTTTGAAAGAGAACCCAGGCTGGTGGATCAGGCGCACTCAGTGGTAACCCAGTTCTAAGTCGCACCGGGGGGAACCCATCACACAAGAAGTGACCAATATGGTTAATGAGGGACTGCGAAAAAAATCTGAGGGTTAAAAAAGAACCAGAGAGCTAATCTATCCAGCCTGGCTTCTCTCCGTTCCATCTGAACACTCATGAATGGAAAAGTGAGGAGGGAGGGAAAAACACAAGGTTTGTTCATCAGGCACAGCTAGAGGAGCATTAATGTGCTCCATACTTGGTGGTGTGGCTCATGCAGGTAACAATGAAATGGAAGAACTGAGCATTTGATCAGTTATGTCAGCTGACTGGGTATCACCAGTGTTTTATGATATACAGAAAATTAAGTATACCGCCACCTTATCTTTAGGGTGGTGGGTGCTATAGCAAATGTTAGATCCTGTTTCATTGAACAGCACATTAGTTAGATTTGCAAATTATACTAACATAGGAGGTGCTGTGAAGACCGGCAGAGATGACAGAGCAATAATACAAATAAACATGGAGAGATTAGTGGTAACCAAATGAGAGTGGAACACCCACAATAAAACATCTTGGGGAAAAATAATACAAACTACATATATTTCCTCCCTATATGTACTTGGCAGGAGTAACACAGCATGAGATGTAGTGGTCACAGTACATAATGTAATAAACTATGTATGAGTTGGAAGTGTAATATGGTGGTGCCTATTCCCCATGGGACATCTTTTTAAAGGTATTTAGGCACCTAATCGGATTTTCAATAGTGCTCAGGATGTCCAGCTCCTATAAATCAGTGGGAGTTAGGCGTCCAGGTGCTTTTGAAAATCCTACTCTCTCTGTCTTCAGACACCTAAATACCTTTTAAAAATCTGGCCCCATGTCGTGTTAGGCTATGTAGACAGAGATATAATGACACCAACCATATCAAGTTTCCTATGACACTGATGAGACCTCCCCTGGAATACTGCACTAAGTTCTGAGCCCCTCACTACCGGAAGGACACCTACAAATCAGAGGGAGTTCAGAGAAGAACAAAAATGATTCAGGGGCTAGAAGGAAGGACTCATGAGTGGAGATGAAGAGAACTCAAAATCCATACTGATAGCTTGGCTAAACAGGGACTCGGGGTCTGATCTGAAGCCCATTGAAGTCAATGGATATCTTTCCATTGGATTCAATGGGATTTGGATAAGGGCGTAAGAGAGCCTGCAAGTATTTGTAGGGTGTTCACATCTGGGAGGATGAGACAGGGTTAGAATGCTCGGAGGGATATAAAGGAGGATAAAACAGATTAAAGGTATATTTTGAATAGGAAGAAAAATCCTAAGCAAGAGGTTTAGCTGACTCTGGAATAGTCTCCCAAGCAGCAGCTGGTAGAGGCCCTATTTGAGCCAGTCACTTACAATCAGAGTGGTGAGTGAGAGCAATGGAGAATATATTGTAAGGGAACAACAGTCCTGAATCAGCAGGGACATGGGCTAGAGGATCTTTTAGGTCATTTCTAGTTCTAACTTTTTCTGTGATTCTGTAAATTGTGACTCAGGGCTGAGTCAGATGGTACAATGAAAATAGTAGCTGTGCCTGAATCCTTAAGTATTTTGTGGAGGATTATTAACGCCAAAGGGCTTATTAGTTTCCAGATGTACCAGAAAGGCTCAGCTGTATGTTTATTTCTAGTGACACAATGTCAAGATGGTGGCAAATCAATTCTCAGGGAAATTTAAGATAGCCTTTGAAAAAGAAATTTAAAAGACAGGAAGAAAACGTTGATGTAATGTTGTTGGTTATTGCTAAATAAGCACATAAAACCTGAGCTGCCATTTCCACTAGATCTGATCTCTGCTGTGCAGGGTCACTACCCACATGGGCTTTTCCTTTGACAACAGAGTGAGGAATTGTCAAGGCTGCTTCCCCACTTTGAACTTTAGGGTACAAATGTGGGGGCCTGCATGAAAACTTCTAAGCTTAACTACCAGCTTAGATCTGGTCCGCTGCCACCACTCCCAAAGCTAATTCCCTTCCCTGGGTAGCCTTGAGAGACTCTTCACCAATTCCCTGGTGAATACAGATCCAAACCCCTTGGATCTTAAAACAAGGAGAAATTAACCATCCCCCCTCCTTCCTCCCACCAACTCCTGGTGGATCAAGATCCAACCCCCTTGGATCTAAAAACAAGGAAAAATAAATCAGGTTCTTAAAAAGAAGGCTTTTAATTAAAGAAAAAGGTAAAAATCATCTCTGTAAAATCAGGATGGAAAATAACTTTACAGGGCAATCAAACTTAAAGAGCTCAAAGGACCCCCCTCTAGCCTTAGGTTCAAAGTACAGCAAATAGAGATAAACACTCTAGCAAAAGGTACCTTTACAAGTTGAGAAAACAAAGAGAAACTAACACGCCTTGCCTGGCTGTTTACTTACAAGTTTGAAATATGAGAGACTTGTTCAGAAAGATTTGGAGAGCCTGGATTGATGTCTGGTCCCTATTAGTCCCAAGAGCGAACAACTTCCCAAACAAAGAGCACAAACAAAAGCCTTCCCCCCACCAAGATTTGAAAGTATCTTGTCCCCTTATTGGTCCTTTAGGTCAGATGTCAGCCAGGTTACCTGAGCTTCTTAACCCTTTACAGGTAAAAGGATTTTGGAGTCTCTGGCCAGGAGGGATTTTATAGTACTGTACCCAGGAGAGCTGTTACCCTTCCCTTTATAGTTATGACAGGAATGCATTTAGAATTTTTGACCTCCGATCATCACACACAATGACCACTTGCTTCAAATTAGCACTTTTCTGTTAAAGTTCTTTATTTGCATCCCACAAGGTTTCTTCTAGGTTTGATGGGTTATTTAGTACAGAGGTATTTACAATGTAAATATTTGCTATTACATTAGAACAGGATACAGATACATGCATTGTTTTCCCTTAACATCCCATTAATTTTCATGAAGGTTAAACACCAAATAATCTTATATATTTAACAATTATTTTGATCTATACTAATACACAAGTGAATTAACCCGGGGCTTTGGCATGAGCTGGCACCTGATCTGCCAGCATCACAGCAATATTGGAGCTTGTTAACAAAAGGAGGAAGAATAGACAAATGAAGGAGAAGAAAAGATTGAAACAGAAAGACAAAGAAACAAGAGACAGAGAAAGCAGAATGAGGAAAAGAGGACCCGCTAGCCTGTTGAGATGTAGACATTCTATAGGAGGTGATCCTAAAGGAGTCTTTGTGATGTGATAATGTCTCCAAGAACCGGGAGAACAGCTGTTAGCTGCCTGTCCTTGAATGCGGATTTTTTTCTTTATTATGAATGTCTAGTACTTAGCAAGCTTTAAAGCGGGACTGGGTTTTGTATGGAGAACAAGAATATACAAAGTTACAATAGCAAATACTAAAAACTAGAGTTTGAGATGCGATATGAAATATCATGCTTCAGGGCTCAAACCAATCTCTGTTAGGAGTTAGGGAAAGTAAATTAGGCAAAAGTGCAGGAATCATCAGACAGGCATTTAGAAGTGCCCTCCTCTCTATCCTCACATCCTAGTTAAATAAAACCAAAACTACATATATTGAAAAATAGTGTTGCTTAACAGGTGCAGTATGCAAATAGAGTGTCTTCCATCCTGCTGTATTTCAGTTCTACATTAACTCATACTAATCTGATCAGTATTCTAGTGGATGACACCTGGAAACTGCGTGTAAGGGACCAGGGCACAGGCAGTCTTATCTAGTGGTTAGGGCTGAGGTCTGCCCTCCAGGGACTGTAGTCAGTGGGCAGGAGATGGAGGAATTGCAAGACCCCAGTTCCATAAGCAAGAGTCAGGATTGGGGTCAGAGACCGGAGATCAGAGGTGGTACCTGAAGGGAATGGTCAGAGTCAGGCTGGCATCAGAGGCCAGAGGCAGTACCAGGTTAGAATCAAGAGGCAGGAATCAGGGTCAGAGTCAGACTGGAGTCAGAGACCAGAATATCAAGCAACGTTTGGCGTTGCAGCAGCCCAAGATCTGTATTACTGCCCAGACAACTTCCTGGGTCAACCCCTGGGGTTAAATAGGGTGCTTAGTCACACAGAGGGCCTCAAGGTACTGTCATTCTGGGTCTTTTAGGTGGCACTTCCTGCGGTGCCTATGTAACACCGACAGACGCCGGTCGTCAGCAGGCAGAATTGAACCTGGGGCCTACTGGAGCTTAGTGCATGAGCCTCTACTGCATGAGCTAAAAGCCACGTGGCCTTTAGCTAAGGCTGTAGAGCAGACTCATTAATCTCTCTCTCTCTCTGTCTCAGTGCCACTAGAGAAGACAGAACACCACACCCAGGAGATGTGTGGGTTACACCTACTCTCCATAGTGCTCCCTGGCTGTGCTACTGTATGACCTCTTGGTGGTATTGTAGGAATATCAGCCCTCCCAGGCTCTGCAGAACTGTGTTCTGGTCCTTACACACTAGGTTAATTTTGAAGCGGTGAGGTGGATGTTAGAGCATTAAGTGGGG